TCTACTAGCGATGGTCTCCAACCTAAATAGTGATGGCCTCCAACCTACTAGCAATGGCCTCCAACCTACTAGCGATGGGCTGCAGCAAAGTGAAAAGTGACTGACATATTGCACAGCACTAATCATCTAGGCTCTGATCTATATGGAAAATGGTTTGCAATATATCAATGATATCTGGATATCCACCAGGACACTGTCGATGCTTTGATATACGTCCTCCAGGGTGCCAAGCGCGTGCGCGTGGCTGGGCACTACCCTGGAAGCAAGGTCACCATGGATAAGGCTTGAATCTTGAGCAAAGGCATTTTGAATACACAATAACTGATAGGCAAGTTAAGTTCTCCACGGCAGTTCATAGCCAAGCTGCACAAGGTGCATTTTCTTCAGGTGCTGAGCGCAGGCTCCATGGTCTATGTCCCTGGCGGTCGCTTCCATGTGTTGCACGCTCTGCCCATTGATGTGGATGCGAAAACTGCAGGCTTAGTGACTCGACACTAAATGGACACACCGAAAAGGATGGACTCGAATACAGCACTCAAGTGACTCTGGTGGGGTTCTGGACAACCAAGAACCCGAAGAACCTGTTTTTCTGAAACAAAACAAGCCTTTGATTCTGCACGATCATTGGTAGCCTAGGTCGTTGCCCTCAGCATTGGCCTTTTTAATCCCAATGAGGATTTGCTGCAGGTCCGCACTGATACCTACAGGCCAGCTGCGATTCGAACGTTCAGGTTTTCTCCAAGGGCCCGAAAGTAAAGCCAAGTCTTTTCTTTCGCCTTTCTCGCAGGTCGGCCTTCGAACATCGTAACCTGCTTTGGTCGGACATGACCAGCCACTCAGCTTTTCTGCCGGAGAACTTCCCCAGGAAACCGGAGGTTGTTTATGCTGACAAGGCGCTTGGCTTGCGATGCATACGAGATACTTTGTCCTGCAATGTTGCATGTCTTTGCTGGAGCGACTAGACACACACTTCAATCATGGGGCTTCTTAAAGGAACCCAAACAAGTACTGCTTCTAATTTTATCCCCCTGCACGTTTCCTCTACGAAATGGAACTGGTTGACCACTGAGACAAGGCATGTTTCATAGGAAACTTGTTTGGGTGGCGTTTGGCGGGATGGGGTTGTTTACAAACGTTGCGCATGCGACGTCAGCGCCTCAGAGACTCTCCGCACATGTTCTTAAAGAACTTGACGATGCTGTGACGAAACACTAGCGTATTCTTGTTTCTAGTAGCGATGCCAGGAGCTACTAGTAGCATCCTTGCTCCTAGTAGCGATGCGCCTTGTTACTAGTAGCGTCCTCTTGCTTCTAGTAGTAAGGCCAGGAGCGCCACTAGTAGCGCCCTTGCCCCCAGTCAGGTTCAAGGTCAAAAAATCGGCTATAGGTTTACGACGTCTGCGGCGTCTGAAAAGCACAAAGCCTCACGGCAGTCTATGAGCTGTGGACCTAGTTGTAAGCCAAAAAAGTGGACCTCAAGGTGTCAAAATCACATTACTGTCAAAACTTAGTCTACAGAACGCCTGACACAAGGTCACAATGAGCCAGCCAGGGACACCGACAAAGTGGGAACTTCCAAAGGGGGATAGAGATCTGACCTGCCAGCACACCAGACAGTTCATGATGCATTCTGTAGAGATGCAACTCTTTACAAGTCAGCAAGATGTTCAAACTGGCAAACACAACTTCCAAGACCCATTCTGTAGAGACAGCCATTTTGTAGAGGAAGCCTTTTTGATCGGCGGTTTTCTATCTTCATCTATCCACACACTGTCAATTCTTCGGATGTTTCTCGACAAAATCACATGTTTTTATACAAACCGTGGACTCCAGCGTCCAGCGTGCCTTAAAACACCTTAAATCGGAACGCCAACAAATGTCTACAACATCATGTGCTTTTAAATCTGAATGCTGTGGGTACCACTCAGTTTCCCCCTCTACAAAATCCCACAAAGCAAGTCAGTTTTGGAAAAAAGTTGCATAGCATGCGCGCAGCCCTCAACCTCGAAAGTACTGCAAATAAAATAGGAAAAAACACACACACGAAACGCCACGGCGCCGTCTACAAGCCGTGGTCCAACTCCAGTAGCTACAGAATTGATAGCGCAATCTCACCCCTGTAACTCGCAGTCCTTTTTGCAATCCACGTAGCTTTTGGTAGGATGCGTTGGACTCGAAGGGCTTTGGGGCCATCCATCGGCGCGTGCTTCAAAAAGATGCGCTGCGCCTGGCAATGCTGCTGCGCCAAGGGGCTGAGGCCTGCATGACTGAAGAATGCCATAAACTGTATCCACAGATTGTAAAATAGACGCTTCAAACACTCTCTAAGAATGACCTATTGGATCAAACTCAATTTCAGTATTTGCATGGTGGTGCTTTGCGTTAGTTTTATAGAGATGGAACACAAAACAATGCAGGCTTTGAAGGAAGAAAGTCAGTCTCCCTGGGCTGTAAAGCCTGCTTCAGGTGAATCTCCATAGCCAACCGCCTGAGGGCCCGTCATTGACACCTTTGGGTTTAGCAGCGTGTTGCGTGGACGACGAGGTGTGTGTCTTAGGACCGACCAGGAGACCTAAGAAGACCTTAGAAGACCTTAGGACCTCCGAGTACGTACTATCACTTGACTCAAGCGAAACGCAGCCCCTAGGAAGTGGCTTTGCTGCTCACTGCCAAGCTGTTGGAATTTGGCGCAGAGCCAACCGTTGAATTTCATGATGGAGAGAACTTCTCAGTGCCTGCCTTGGAGAGAACTCCTAGTAGAGATGCCCTTTGCCACTGGTAGCTTCTTGTTCCTAGTAGTAAGGCCAGGAGCCCCTAGTAGCGTCCTTTGCTCCTAGTAGAGATGCCCTTTCACGTGCCAAGTTGGACGGCACTGAGGCCGTGCAAGTGGCCCATCGCCGCAATGAGGCATTTGCTGCCCAGATGGCACTGCGACTATACGCTGCTAGCGACTCAAGCGAGCTGTGAGGAAAGGCAACGCACTTCGTTTTGTGCAAAGAGGATCGAAGAGGCTCACTTCGTTTAATCTGCTCGTTTTGTACTTGGACCGAGCTCCTCGTCTTTAGCCATGGCTGCTCTTTTGGTGACAGTTGTCGGATGAGAAGTTACCTTTAATGCAAGTTGAAATAGAGAAGAGAATTATATAGAGATATGTTTGCGAGAACAACGCAGAGACCCTTTGAGACTTCCAAGTTGCAAAGACAACACTTTGCCGCAGAAATACATTGTAGCCATGTGATCGTGCCATGGGTGACGCATCTCCTGGAGCTTCTTGGTGGAAGGGAGTGGTCCTGCAGTGGACAACGTTAAACGTCTGGGAGTGGTACGGAGTGTGTTCTGCTCCTGATGACTGCACCTCAAGGTTGGCTGGTCAATTGTAGCAAGACAATGCAACGCATACCATTTGTTCAGGTGTTGTGGGTTAAGAGCAGGATTGGATGAGCACTTTCGTGGTAGTGCAAAGATGAGGTCCATTCATTGGCAGGAGCGTTTGCAGGTGCAGCCCAAACTGCGTTTTGGCATCCATTGGATGTTTTGAAGACTCGCAACTGGTTTGCAACATGAAACTCAATGAAATTCAAGGAAGGTGGAAAGGACACGCTTCCAACAATGCAGTGTGTGGAGGCGTCTTCTGCCGCCTCTATCAGTTAGGATCGCGACCACAAACTCTTCCAAGGTATGCAGGTTCGTGATGGCACCGTGGGATCGGTGCATGCGTACAGTTCTCTGCGAAAAGCCGTATTGTCAACTCTGCACTCAGAAGGTCCTCGTGGCTTCTTTCGAGGATGGGACAACAGTAACAGATTGTACATCTTTAATGTAATTTAATGTCATGAGTCATTCTTCAAAGTGCGACTTTGTGTCAGGTGTCACACGGCATTTCAACACATTGCCCCTATCTCAACTTGCCGCATCATTTTTGTACTGTCTTGTTTGGTTGCTCGCACCTTGTAGGCCCATTGTCCATCATGTCAACGTCTGAAAAGCAGCGCCCACGCATTGGCAACTGAACACACACACTTAGGATATTGTGTACTGAACTGAAAGCGGTGCCACACGCCGGCCTAGGGTTCCATTTCCTAAGAGTACATGTACGAACCACGGGATCCTGGAGGTCTTCAAGAGGAAGTAGGGCCCAAAAGGAAGAAAACGAACGACGGACGAACAGGCTGACGACGTTCCGGTCGCATCTGCAGTTCCAAGAAAACATCAAATCTTCGAGGTTCTTGGCTTAGCCTCTTGCCATTCGGAAATTTGGAAAATTGCAGGTACGTCCAGCTGGCCAAGCTGGATATCCCATTTCACTGGTAGCTTCATTGGACACAGTCCCAGTGAAATGCTGTGTCCCCCTGCAGTAAAACAAATGCAAAAGCATCCCTATGACTCCAAGGGTGACACACACACGCCTCCCCGGAGGGAGGCAAGATTTTAAGCTCCATGCCGAAGGTCAACTGAAAAACTAAGGCTCCAACAGGTTCCAATGAACCTAAAGCTGGCTTTGACCGCTCTGGTCACCTTGTGCCTTGCCGAAATGGCTGGCTGCTTTGACCGCTGCGGTCACGTAAAGGCATGAGCCAACTTGGAATTCCAAAGATGAGACAAAGATCATCGTACGTACGGCCTAGGCCACCTTCGCCCGCTCTGGGCATCTACATCTCCGGGCAGGGGAGATAACGACGTACACCCGTTCGACGGGTCCACGGGAGGCACTCTGCGGGCTCATCCCGGGTTGGCACAAGGCCAAACACACTTCGGATATTGTGTACTGAACTGAAAGCGGTGCCACACGCCGGCCTAGGGTTCCATTTCCTAAGAGTACATGTACGAACCACGGGATCCTGGAGGTCTTCAAGAGGAAGTAGGGCCCAAAAGGAAGAAAACGAACGACGGACGAACAGGCTGACGACGTTCCGCTCGCATCTGCAGTTCCAAGAAAACATCAAATCTTCGAGGTTCTTGGCTTAGCCTCTTGCCATTCGGAAATTTGGAAAATTGCAGGTACGTCCAGCTGGCCAAGCTGGATATCCCATTTCACTGGTAGCTTCATTGGACACAGTCCCAGTGAAGTGCTGTGTCCCCCTGCAGTAAAACAAATGCAAAAGCATCCCTATGACTCCAAGGGTGACACACACACATAATTTGTATTTTTCACTCAAATATTTATATATGAAGTTGTGTGGGACGGCGAAGCACCAATACCACCAGACTTGCGCCATGCATACCTAAACACGCACATACACACAGCAGAAAGGCTGCCGAACCTCCTAAGTAAGTGGTCTTGCACAGGCACGTCACACGACACCGTCGATTTCACATGAATCGCTCAACGGAAAGCACGATAATGACATGTGTGAGAGTGTTGATAGTCTTTTGAGTATCGACAACATCAATGACAACGATTTGAAAAGTTGAACTCGCAAGTCAATCTTCGGAAAACTGAAGCCTCTTGCATACTTGCAGGTATGGGGCTTACACCCCCCAGTCATATCACATGTGTATCAGCACTCCCGGTGCCCTCCCAGATGCAGGAAGGATTTAAATTACTTGGTGATGTGTACCGTGAAATAGATTGAAGCACATAGTAACTATGTTGGTCAAGCACGAACGGAGGGTAACAAGAAGTGAGTCGAAGCATACAACCCTCATAATCAACATGATGGTGCATCAGTTTCATCAGACCTTGCTTCCACCATCGTGCAGCTTTGTTGGCACGTGTTTGCGTGATGGCCGCATGCCTCCTCTAGGTTTTGACGGCGTTGAACGTTCTGTTCGCTCACACAGCTTGATGAGAAAGGTTCATGCTCCGACCCGCTGCATCGTGGTTGAAGCAGACGACTACTGGAAAAAGCACCACGCAAAGCGCGCAGCAGGAAAGTGGAATGACCGTTAAACTTAATATAGCCAGATAACGGTGAGCAAAGTAGCGGTTCAAATAGAAAGTGCGTACATCCTAGTGCAATAAAAGAAGACACAACAATCGATCAATTGAAATCGGCAACTGAAGGCAAACTCGGAAAGTTCTGAAATGCAGCTGTGCGCAACAGGAGAATCACATGCGAACGGTTGACTCCCATCAGGAGAGTCAAAGCATAAATTTCCATTTGACTCGAGACAAGGTCGATCACGATCAAACCGATGGATGGGCTAGCAATCTTGTTCTAGTTACCACAGGACAAAACAAAGCGAATCAGGACATTGATAGGACTCTCCAACCTGTCAAGTTCAAAGCAATTTAGTTCCAAACGACACGTAAGTCTCAGCTCCATTAGCGACAAGAATGATTGCCCTGCAGGTGTTTGTGCAAACGTTGCTGGCTCTACCCTTTCATGGGGCCTGCAGATGCCACTGTACCAGCACTTCAAAGCCATTGCATACAAGGATGCTCAGAACTATTGGCAGAGAGAAGAAGTGTGGGAAATCGAGTGCCATCAAAAAGAATTGAAAGGCCAAAGGCAGCTCCTTTTGGACTTTCAGTATTGATGTGCTCAGGAGAGCAAAGAAATCTTGGCTGCGAAAGATAGTGCATGCTCTCTAGCAGCAGGGTTGGCGACCAATGTGGTAGCTTGGCGAAGATCAGTGACAGATGAAATCCAATCAATGTACATAATCTATTGTAAACAGATATATACATATGCATATTATCATACAATGATCCTATGACAAACACAAGAAGACATGTTTGTGTGGTCCCAGTCATCTCCAGGTGGTTCATCCAGTCTTCTTGATCAAGACACGCTGCTTTGATGTGCAAGCGGCCTATTTGTCTCACGGAGGGAACTCTTTCGGGACACGAGTCAGGAGCATCACATTTTTAAAAAAGCAGGTGTTCTCTCTCTCTCTATATAATACATATATATTATTTCTTTTTAAGGGGGGTAGGCCGCTAGAGGTGAGGTAGCTAGTAGCTAGTAGTAGCTAGGTAGCTAGTAGCTTAAGTAGCTACTACTTAGGACGCAGGATAGCTCGCGTTTCTTCTTCTAAAGGCGGCGGGGGAAGCTTCCTTGAAGAAGCGCTCGCACTACTGATTTGGTTCCTAGATGTTTGGGGAAACTCAACTAGTAACAAGAAGCTACTAGGGGCTCCTGGCCTTACTATTAGGAGCAAGAAGCTACGAACGGAGCAAAGGGCATGTCTAGGGAAACTTAACTAGTTGACCCTACTAGCTCAAATGAGTTGGAGGTTTGCAGCTGCAGCGTGGACAAGCAGGCTACCGTGGAATTCTCCATGCTGCTGGAGTCTCAAATGTCGTTATGTTTGTTCTTTTTATGCCTGACACATCGCACATTTAGCATGTATAGCACTATAATGTGTAAATGATATCCGCCATTTTGAGAATATTCTTTTCTAATAGTTTAACCCACCAACAAGTGGTTGCACCTGCATGCTTAGGTCACAACCATCGCTGGTGAAGAAGGCCTGCAAGGTGCGAATTGAACTTTACCTTTGAAGAACCTACCAACCCAAATTTGCCAAATAGAGTGATGAATGAAAATTGATTGAGCCACCATGGGGATCAAGATAACAGGTTTTTGCTTTCCTGATCCCCTTGTACAAGCCCACTGATTTGCCGGTGTTTTATCCCTCGGCAGAAAGAAGAGAGTAGCACGTGCATTGAAGACTGAAGTCAGAGAGAAGCACTTGATCGTCTTGATCCAGCTCTCACATCTTGCCTTCGTTTGCACTTCCACCTTGGTCCTTTGGTCCGGTTGAGATTGCCTGGTGCTTCCAATGCTATTCCCGTGTCGTTTGAGCAGCAACCTGTTGTAAGTACTTCTGAAAACTTATCGGTTTTTGGTGCTACCCGTTTGTTTTTTTTTGAACTGTGGCTCAACTACTGGCCACACTGAGATACTTCAGGATATGTCAATGCTGCGTCTCACAAAGTGTAGACTGCATCAGAATTGAATGACATATCACACCATTTGCTTTAAGTGTATTTTGCTTGAACTGTTTGCCCTGTCGCAAGAGGCTTCTATCGGGGCTTTGTCCCATCCCTGATGTTGTCTTCCCACGGTGCCATTTTGCTGGTGGCTTATGAGCCTTGTGCAGAAAGAGTTTGTTTTGTTCCGACACCAAGGTTTATTATTGCTTGCTTCTTGTTTCAGGACCGCTTCAAAAACAAGTTTGATTCAGTGCTTTTGGCATCTGGCTCTGCGAAAGTCTTTGCAACTGTGGCTGCTTGGAAAAAGTCGATTATGGAGAATGGGTCCACGTGTAGGAGGTTGGAGTCCGCCAACTAGAACAACCACCAACTACAGACAGTGTGACAAGTTTGTGAATGAACGCGGATCACACATACAGCTCCCTTATCCATCTGTCGTTAGCCTATACTGAGGCCACATATCCTCTGCAAGTAATCCGATCGGTGATGCAACAACGACCAACAGGGGGCACGTTCGAGTGGCTTGAAGCAGAGGGGGCTTGGGGCAATGATGGAAGCCATGATTGAAGCAACGTGATTCTGCCCTGGATACAATTTTGGAAACAAGTTGTGTGTTTCAGCTCGATGTTTTGCCTTATGTCCTTAAGGTACTCCAACATATTCCGCACTGGACAGCTACTCTGGCAGCGAAATGGAGTCACAGCTTTCTACCGAGGACAGATCTACAATGTGCTTTTTGGGGACATTCCTTCGCTTGTCTATATATATAGTATAATATATATATATATGTATGTACACTACACTTTTTGTTCACACATGGGTCTACCAAATTGGACAACTATAAGACGTGCCCGATTGGCACTTGCGCAGGAATTCTGCCCCAGATGATGCGAACAGTTCCACAATCAATGGCCTTCTTTTCCATTTATGAGTATGCACTCACGGCCTTGCGATTTCTTGGAACAAAGTCTTGAAAAGAGCTACCTATGCCTTATTACCCATGCTTTGCTCGTGCGCATGGACTCAGCTGGACGTCAAGCTGTGAAGCTATCACTGCGTACCGAAGATCATCGGCATCTTGACACTTCTCGCGGGCAGTGAAGCTGTGCCAAACGGTCCACACTTTCCCAAGAGATGAACAAATAGTGGGCAATCACATCGCTATTAGGCCGCTCTTAGGCAGAGCACAGTGGGCGAGGGCGAGCGGCGAGTGGCATCGACCAGACAGACTTGCCCGGGTCTGACCCATCGGGCAGTGACGGGAACAGTGTGACACTGGGACCTTGGGCATCGTCCGGACAAAGGACATGTTGCACTTGCGCACGATACACAGAGAGTGTGACAGCTTACAACTTAGTACATCTTGGTACACTCTGACTTGTACACATTCTGATACTACTTTCCTTGCTAGACTTGTACACCTTTTTCTGTTTTATCGTTAAGTCTTGGGCTCAAATAGCCCAAGCAAACACGTATCATCCGGTACTAGTACACTGGTCAGCAGGTGCGGCAATTGTTGTTCTTGCGCCTTGAAGGGGTTGCTTTGGGTACATATGTCTTATTTCATTCCCGTTTGGAGCAAGCAAAGCAAGAGAATGCCATTGTATATATTCTATAGACTTGGTTTCTTCCCTCTATGCAAAGTGTTTGCTAGCAGCTAGCATGCTTGTTTGGGCACAGGCCATGACCATTTTGCAGCTCACCTCTACTGCTACAGCATTTTTATCTGCTGGGAGCTCGGTCTTGGACATTTTTTGGAACGTCGTGTGAGGAGCAGGATGAGCGAGTGACAACTACGTAAAGGAAGAGACAAGCATCAGAGCGACCGAAGGATAGTCGTGTGACCCACTGCCTTGTGCCCTGTTCTCCGAGGCCTTGTTGGCCCTGGTGGCCTCCAGTCGCTTGTTCGCTTGTAGAGTGAAACCGAGTTGGGTCAGTTGGCGATCCTTTTCAGTTAGTTTTCTTCAGGTCCACGATTGCCGCCTATTTAGATTCTGTATCCACACTCCTGACACATTTTGCGGGATCTTTTTCACATTGTCCCTCCAGATAACTACTAGTAACAAGTGCCACGCTATTAGAAACAAGTGCCTTACTAGTAGTAACAAGAAGCTATTAGAATTAAATTAACTAATAGCTTTTTGTATGCACCAACACAACTTGGGCTCCGCTGCATGACGCGCCTCCCAGTCGTTCCCCATAGGGCAGTACTGGAGGATTTACAAAAAGCCCTGTAACAAATATGCAAGTAGAACACCATGCTGCAAGGTAAACGGCTCTATTCCCAGGTTTCCCCCAACGCGAATTATCATCGGCTGCAAACACGTGTCAGTTCAAGGAATTACGAATTCACTGGTCGAGTTTGATGGTTGCAAAATCTGTTTTTGTACGTATGCATTTCTTCACCCGTACTTCTGGTTTTTGCCAAGCCATTTCAGGGGAAGAGAAGGCAAACGGATGAGCTGGTTGACTATCTTTGACTTTAAGCCAAATTGGCATGCACCGGGCAGCAAAAAGCGTAAAGTGAATCACGAGCTCATACCATGTATATAATGCCAAAATCGTGTTTCAAAGGAGGCAGATCTGGATGGCGCCATGTTAAATGCTGGAAAAATAAACAGACACAATGTGCGATTTGTGCACTGGCAGGGCAGGCATGAGCGACCACCGGATGAAGATCACCATAAAAAAGTCCATTGCGGACCCTCAATTTGCCATTACACAGACTTTGCTGCATGTGGGAAATGTCATCGAGCCCATGTGTTTCTGCTTCTTGAGAATTATCACGTTCCTTTTCAATTTTGAGTCTGGAGGTGATTCAGGTCAACCAGATATCGATAAACCTGTACGAAAGCTACCGAAGTCACACATCTGCCGCAGAGTTTGGCATAGTACATTGTGGAAAGCTCCAACCCGGTGGAAAGGGGAGGGGTCAAATTGCTAACGATACAATTCAACAGTATGCAATTACGTTGGACCCTGTGAATGGTGGTATGGAGATCAGTCATATGGATATGTGACTTGTTGGATCACTTTTTGTTGTCGTTTGCATCTCGTGTTTAAACATATACACCTCTCCAATCACGAAAGGTACGAAACGCCTGAGAGCAAACCGTGTTTGGTAATTGCCATTGTGTTGAACAAGTTGACATGGTAGAGGGCTAGTTTTCGTGGAGGTGGCCAGAGGTCACATGATCCATTCCAGGAAAGCGACGTAGTCATAAGGCACTAAATTACCCACAAATACATCTAAATCTAGATACCAAAGGAAGGTCAGTAAAAAAGAAACGACATGGTGCAGCCCACGAACCTGAATGCGCTTGTGCATCAAACACTCTTGTAGGACACTTTTGTGGGACACTCTTGTAAGAAAGTCTTCAGAACGAGCATTTCGTACTTCCTCCAAACGTCACGCGTCAAGTCTTCAAAACGAGCAACGGGTTTTCCAGACGCCGGAAAAGAAAGGGCAAAGGTGCAAAGAAAAGAAAAGAAAAGGAACGGAAAGGAAAGGACAGAAGAGAAGAGAATAAAAAGCAAAGAAGGAAAGAACTATATAAACAAAAGATAACGAGAAAGCAAACGAAAGAAAAACAATAAACGACAGAACGACAGAAAGAACTAAAGAGAGAGAAAAAGAACGCAAGAACGAACAAAGAAAAAAAAATTTTCCTTGGCAGTGTGAAACGGGTGCTTCATGTGATGTCAAGTCACATGTTTGCACCGCAATGGCCGCAGTTTGATGGCACAAGTTCCTTCCCGAAGAGCCCTTTAAGGGCGAAAGCTCGAAGTAGTGCCAAAAGTGTGGCGCCGGGCTGGCTTGATAGACCCCTAGTAACTCAGTGCTTTGCAATTTGTTAGGTTTATCGCCATGAGCAATGAGCTTTCTGGACAAATGCCTGATTTAGGCATAGCAAGTAATGCAATGGCTGCATCATTTGCTGCTCCTTGTAACGTTCATGCTCCGAATGCCTTCATGCCAACTTCCAGAGAAAGAATGTCTCCGAGAACTCCAGTTCCTCATGTTCAGACGGCAATGGGTGGTCCTTTGTCTTCAGAAGTCCCGGCTTTGCCTGGAGGGTTTCCGACTAGTGCTGCGAGAGGACCTAAGGTGGAAGAATTGCTCGTCGAGCAAAACCGGTTGTTGATGAGCTTGCTACAAACTCAGCAAGCTGCTGCTGCTGCTGCTGCTGCTCAAAGTAGTTCTTCTTCCTCTTTACCTTCTTTGAAGCCTTTTGTCGAACCCAAGAAAATTCTAGAAGAGGTAGACCCTCAGACTCGAGTTCTGTTCCAGGAGTTTGAAGTCGAAGCCAAGAACCTTTTTTCGGCTTGGGCTACTCAAAAGGCAATGCAGCAGAAATACCAAAGACTGAAGGATGACAATGTGTTGCATCCACATTTTGAAGCCGAATCCAAGCATCAATGGCAGTTTACCAAGCTTTACATGGCTCATGCTCAACCTTTTGCTAGCGAAAGCCCTAGCATGACAGATGCCTATGATCTGAAAGAAGCATGGTCTTCGATGAGGCGAAGACATGCGCAAGAATGTTTCGACTTTGTATGCAAGCACCAGGAGAAATGCATGGAGATGTATGATGGCTTGGTCAAGCTTCCAGCTTTGAAGCAAAAGATGGCAGATAGGCTTGAGAGTTGGTTTGCGCAGCATGGTTATGATGATCAGTCAGTAAAGTACACCTTGCAGACCAAGGCGGCTTTCTTCGTTGAATGTTTGCTGCGTTCGGAATTCCCAAAGGCACAGTCACGTGTCGAAAAGGAAAAGGATTTGAGAGCCAAAAGAGACAAAGCTATTCTTGAAGCTTCAGAAAAATGGCAGAGTATGGAAGTGAAGGATTTGCTCTCCCCGGCTCTTTTTGAGCTTTCTAAGTTGGGAGGTGCAAAAAAGCCCGTGAAACTTAAAAGCGACAGTGCCTTAGCCTACTTGGTGCACGACAACCCGGAACTTTGCAAGAAGTACAATGTCAAGATTGCAGCGCCAGATGTGGAGGGTTTTGCCAAAGAACCGGCTTCCAGAGGTCGGCCAAAGCGTGCAGGAACCCCTCGACACCGTGGTCGTTCGCACGATGGTCAGAGTTCCAAGAGGTCAAAATCACCAAGGCCAGCTTCAATCCTGAAGTCAGACCGTCGTTCCAGCCGAGGCAGTTCCAGATCGCCAAGCAATGGCAGGAGCAAGTCAGTTCGGTTTGCAGATGACAAGGGAAAGAAAGGAGGCAAAGGCAAGAGCAAAGGAAAAGGCAAATCGAAGTCCAAAGGAAAGGGAAAATAGCAAAGAGGAGCAGGGGCAGGTGTTTTTGGTGCGATGAAGAGAAGACCGTTGTGGATTTTTCCAAGTTTCTCGTTGTACAGACTTTGAGGTCACGGTTTTCTTCCTTACTCCATCGGCCAAAGTTCAAGGGTGTTCACAACCTTGCCCCTGCCAGCGAATTTCAAGTCCCAGGGTATGTGCTTCAGCATATTTCCAAAGGCGGCAAGTTCATTCCAACAGTGTCACACACACCAGTTCAACAGTTGAAGTTTGGTTTGCCCGCTTTGCGACGTTCATTGCTTTTGAAAGCCTTTTTCAAAGACAAGCGACAGGACTTTCGGAAAACAGTTTCAAGATGTAAACTCCCTAGTTCGTGGTCTCCGCCTGCGAATGAACACGTTGAGCAGTACATGAGACTTTCGGAGGATAGTCTTGACAACTTTGAACCGCAGGCTTTTCAGAACAATTGGACTTGGGTGGATCGCAAGGCAAGACAATGGCTTGCCAGACATTCGGCTGACCTTGTTGTGGTTGACTGTGATAAGGGTTTGGGAGAAGCAATTGTTCCAAGAAAATGGCTCAGAAACCAGGTTCACCGACAGCTGGCACAAGGCTATGTACAGTGCAGTTCCGACGCCTATTTTGCTGGTATGAGGGAGAGCAAAGCTGGAGCAATGGCTTTGGTTGAGTTCTTTTTCAGTTTTCAAGTGATTTCTGCTGATTTGCGGCGGTTTTTGCTTCATCGGTTTTTTCGTGATGCGGCGGGTACTTTCCGGATTTTAGTGAAAGTGCACAAAGAGCCAATAGGCTCACGCCCAGTTTGCAATTTGAGACAGACCTGGTTCACTCCTTTCGCTGTTTTTCTTGTTCAGCAATTGGCCCCGTTGCAAAAGCATATTCCCACAGTGATTTTGTCCACAGACGAATTGCTGAAGAAGCTTGACCAGCTACAATGCAGAGAAGGCATGCATTTGATTACCTTGGATGTGGTCAATTTGTATCCAAGCATTTGCAGAAGCCATATGCTATCTCTGGTTGTT